CCAGACACCCCCAAATGTTGACCCTTAATGCACTCAGTGGACACTCTGGTAAAATTTGACCAGAGTATACATTCAAAGTACCAGATGAAAGTAAGTTTAGATCAACAGGTACATGTTACTGAGTACAACACGGCCCATACCTGACAAATTGTCCTCTGCATAACGTCCGCCAGACCCCCCAGAGAGGGTCCCAAAATGTGGGCTGGGTTAAACATTGGAGGTACCACACTGGGGGGTCGCGCCTTCAGATTATAACAATTGCAATACAAACCAGGGGGGTCCAAGAAACAGGTTCTCATGACCTGCAAGTATGATCATGTTAATTCTAGTTCAAGTGGGAAATCACGCCATTAAGATAATTACAATGCCAAGACAAACCAGGGTGTATGTATGATCATGTTTATTCAGTTCAAAGTGTTTTATGACTTGATAAATGCTTCAAGTTATATTGTGATTATAACGTCAGTAGCACTATTATTAAGATTTCATATTTGCATTCAGAGGTTGGCAGAAAAGAAAAGGCTAGGTGTGGTTTGGAAACGGCTTTTCTTATAACAAAAGAATTCACATTTGCTTGAAAACACAGCTCTATGGTAACAATGATATGGGAATTTATACAAAATTCAGTCAATCGTGACAGATCAACAATTGCTTGTTTAGAATTTTGTGTTGTGGAAAACACCCTGAATGGATCAGGTTAATGCAACCTTTCTTGGCATTTTACCGGGAGGTAAGAAAAGTTTTCCCTGGAAGCTTGATGTCGATTTCTCGAGAGAAGTGACGTGCTCGTCACACACCTCAGAAAAAAAAAGTTAAATTTATTGTGTATGGCTTTCCCTTCTTTATTGAGGGTATTCAAAAACATATATATATATATGTACACTAGGTCATCCTGGGTTAGAAGTCTAAACACATTTAACCGTGGCACAGCTCACGCGCCAATATCATGACTCTCTGTCTAGTGTAAGACATTTATTCAAACAGATAGATGGCAAATCTGAGACGTAAGGCCTTGTGAACATTTAGATATATAGTGGAGGTTTCATAACAGATATTTGAGTATTGAAATCAAAACCATGTCACATTATGAACATACATTTACATTTAACAACAAGAACAAAATCATAAAACATGATGGGTAATTACATTTCACATTTGGTGGTGCGATAGTTTTGACGAGGTGAATATCAGTAACGGCCCTTCTCTTTTGAACAGAAAAATATTTTTGTATCCAACCGTGACACTCCGAGAAAAGTTGTGAAGATCAGGACGAAAATACATCAAGAATAGAACATTCATCTTTTCGTGTCACCAAACCCTGTTCATCTCTTTCCGCGACCTGACAAACTTGATATTTTCACACAGGTCTGTGCCACGATTTTGTTAGGTTTCTCGATACGATAAACTTTTCGGGACCGACCATAAATATGGAAATATTTGGCCGGAATTCAGCTTTTTAGATGATAAAACTTGCTAAATAAACGGAGATCATAGGTTTTTAAACACAATTATCACCAAAAGATTTCCAAATGGTATTAGGGACTGTCATTTACCATTCTTATAGCAGGCTTTGAGGACTACCTAAGCATGTTTGGGTTTGTAGGAATCCATAGCCAAGCTATCAGGCTATAGCAGGCTTTGAGGACTTCATAGCTGATCAGATATATATTAACAAGAATCAGATTCATGCCTTTTTTTATTACATTTCAACGACAGGCCTAATCTATGATATCAATACTAGTATTCAGAGACCTGATTTTATAAATACGTGATTTTAATCTCAATAAAATCCTTCCATCTTTAAGAACAAAACATAAATTTGACCATCTGTTGACTCTCAGAGCTGATGTCCAATATTTCATTATGCACACTGGGATTACAGAGGGTCAGCTGTGTGGGGTGGGGTGAGTGTCTGTCTAGCGGGCCTTATGCAGAAGAGGATTTGTCTGGCAATGGGTATTTTGTAATAAGTAGAGTGTAATAGTTCATTTTATGTTGGTTCCATGTGATACCTCCAATGTTTAAGCCTTATGCAGAGGAAGATTTATCTGGTGTGGCCCATTCTGTACGCTGTGATATGAACCTGTTCATTCAAACGTACCTTAATGTGGTACAATCGATATATATTCCAGACCAATTTTACCCGTGTATACCTGAAGGGTCAACTTTTTGTGGGTGTCTGGCGGGCCTTATGCAGAAGATGATTTGTCTGGCAATGGGTATTGTGCAATAAGTAGAGTGCAATTGTTCATTTTATGTTGGTTTCATGTGGTACCTCCAATGTTTAACCCAGCCCAAATTTTGGGACCCTCTCTGGGGGGTCTGGCGGACCTTATGCAGAGGACAATTTGTCAGGTATGGGCCGTGTTGTACTCAGTAACATGTACCTGTTGATCTAAACTTACTTTCATCTGGTACTTTGAATGTATACTCTGGTCAAATTTTACCAGAGTGTCCACTGAGTGCATTAAGGGTCAACATTTGGGGGTGTCTGGCGGGCCTTATGCAGCAGACGATTTGTCTGGCAATGGGATTTTTATTCTTAGTAGAGTGAAATAGTTCATTTTATGTTGATTTCATGTGGTACCTACAATGGTTAACCCAGCCCAAATTTTGGGACCCTCTTTGGGGGTGTCTGGCAGGGCTTTTGCAGAGGAAGATTTGTCTGGCGTGGCCCATTCTGTACTCTGTGAGATGTACCAGTTCATTTACACTTACTTTCATGTGGTACCTCCAATGTTTGATCCAGCCCTTGAATGGCCCCTTCTTTTGGGGGGCCAGGGGCCACACGCAGCAGGGGCTCCCCGGCAGACATCTATATATGAATATGTTGGGTTACACAGTAAATGTTCCGGGGGCCACACGCAGCAGGGGCTCCCCGGCAGACATCTATATATGAATATGTTGGGTTACACAGTAAATGTTCCTGTGTTCGGATATTGGTACCTTGTTCGTTTGACCAAAGTGCTCTGGGCTGCCGCTCTAAATGTCGTTACAGTTGAAGTGATGTGTTCTGCAAGGTGAGGGCCCTTGTCATATATGCAGCCAATTTCTGACGACTTGAGGCTTGCATGGATACAAAGTGTAACCTGGCTGATTTGTTTTCATTGCACACAGACGATGTGGATCTTTGCTGGCTTTATGTGCCTGGCCCAGATTTGAATATTTACTGGCTGCAATTACACAGTTCAAGTCTTGTCGACTGTGGCATTAAAGTACATTCACTCACTCAGGACAGTATCAAAATGATCAGGACACATAAAACAGCTCCAGACTGGGCATGTATTATCCTAAATAGTTCCCAAATATGTGGAACCACACAGGAAAGACACCAGCCTTTGTTCACATAACAAGTATAGGTAAACAGATACAAAATTAAACCCATGGACATGTGAACATCTTTACAATGTTCCACACAACAGGACCCAAACGTCGGTACAAAGAGTCATTTCGCTGATATGTTCTCAATGATTTATCATTGCCTGAAAATAGGTGTCTTGATCCTCAATAAATATGGGGGGCACAATTCACTGTGTAGAGTTGCATCCCTTGGGCACGCCAGAAACCTGTAACCTGGTTCAAATCCCATTTCGCCCCCAATTTTGTTTCTTGGTTTGTCGGCATCATACCCATGCTTGTGGGTTTCACCAAAGAGGTTAACATCTAAGACCTGCATCACTGCAGGCTTTCCTCCCACATTAAGTTGATATGCCCTGATATAACTTGAATACTGTTCAAACCAGTGTTAAATATCACTAACATATCACTAACTCACTCACTCATCATTATAATTTTCATCAAGATATATCGCCATGGTGATGATATATGTATGACCTCTTGAAGTCATAAATCAGTTATATTCTGATCACTGATTAACAAAATAATCTATCACATTTGCATATTCATTGAAATATCTATGCACCTAACATTTTCATGGCACCATATTACAATAACTCTCAATTGGTAAAATGACTTTAATATTTATGAAATATTTCAGAAACTTAACACATACATTCATGCCAATACAACACACAAAAAACATAACACCTCAGGTCAAAAGGTTTCTAAATTTTCTAGTAAAACATAAAAGTATTATAATCTGTTTGCACTGTGACATAAATTATATTCAAAGTCTTAACATATACCATACTTAAAGTGTCTTGACATCATACAACAGTATGACATCATTTACAGTAAGTACTATTGGAAACAAGTACATTTTTCTCAGAATTATGCTGTTGTCATGATTACTTCAAAAAGAAAAAGAAAAGAAAGGAGCAAAAAATAGATCAAAGTTTTTGTCTTCTTACATCCCTATACATAAAAAATATTGGATGTACCTGTGAAAATGATGGATCAGGTTTAGAAATATAGGGTCAGACATAGGGTCAAAAGTATCCATATACATGATATAGTCCTAGAGCCCATTCCACAAAGCAATCTCAGTGCAAATATCATCGTAACTCTTTACTGACATACAATACTCATAGTGCAAACATCGCTTTGTGGAAAGGACCCCAGAAGAATAAGGTAAGGTGACCCATTACCTGGGTAATTGACAAATCAGGTTTATAAATATATGTGGCCAGAACCCCCTGTATTACTCAGAAATTGAAAGTCACTTTATTTTCACTGGTCACTGACCTGGGTCCCTAGCAATCTGATGACATCTCAACCCAAAACTTGAAACTAAATTTGAACATTGGTAAACATGACTAACAAATTCATCATTCTAGAAGAATACATTAAAACCGTATTCTGTCATGTAAAGAATTGTACAGCACTGCCCCACTGCAATACATAAGGTATGTAATACCTCCCCTTGCTAACACTGGTTACTGCGCCTTGCTTACACTGGTTACTTCCCCTTGCTAGCACTAGTTACTTCCCCTAGCAAGCGCTGGTTAATTCCCCTTGCCAACATTGGTTACTTCCCCTTGCCAACATTGGTTACTTCCCCTTACTAGCACTGGTTACTTCCCCTTTGCTAGCACTAGTTACTATCCCTTGCAAGCGCTGGTTACTTCCCCTTGGTAGCACTGGATGTTCTGTGCCTCAGACCTTTCCTCCTCGGTTCCATTCTGAATCAGAGCAACATCATCAGGTGAGGTTTTACTGATGCTAGCACCCACTGTCCACTTTTCATTCACAGGATGCTGTTCACTTTCCGTCTGTTTGGCGATAATAGCTGTGGTCGTGATCTTCTTGGCGGGTGTTGGTGGAACTCAGACATAAGGTGGCTGTCGCTTTTGATGCACTCGCAGACCAGAAGATGCAGTGAATGCCTGTCCACACACATGTGTCTTTATGTGGTCCTGCTTGTCAAACTGCTTGTTACAGAAGCTGCAAGAAAATGCCTTCAAATGTTCCAAAGATTCCTTACAGGTCTTTGAGTGTTTGCTGAGGTCGGGAAACAGATTGAACCTCTGGTGACACTTGCTGCACTTGTACACATCCCCACCCATATGTTCGGAGTAGTGGGACTTCGACTCGTGGCTTTCGAAGAACTTGCCACAGAGGTTGCACATGACTTGAGTGGACTGGTTAATAGGAGTGTGGTGTTGAAAGGATATGCTCTTGGGAGCATTGTGCTGAACACATTTTTTCTTAGGTGTGTTGTGATTGTTCTTGTGTTGCTCTAGGCATTGGAAAGAAGCACATTTGTAGCTGCATAGTGGACAGGGAAATATCTTCGGTCCTGTAAAGCACCAGAAAACAATATCACATATTTTTCAACTTCTAACATGTATCATCAAGTAATAACACATTTCTCACAAAGGGATGTATCTGGGTTATATTTTCTTACCTTACCAATGTGTTCTCAGCATTACATTCAATGCAATAAACTAAAAGTAAGCTAAAAAGTCTTTTCCTTTTCATCATATGTATTGGCCACATTATCAGTGAAATACAAATCTCTGCAATTCTATAACATCAGTTATAACTGTATTAACATATTAACAGTTTTCATTCATTTAGAGCAACAGTTTCTTGTTCAGATTTCTTAAAATTATATTATATGAATTTGATGATATTATTCATATTACAATACTTATCATGACACAAAAGATTGCATAGAACACAGAACCAAATATATGCCTCATCAACCCCCCCCCCCCCCCCTCACCACCACACACGCACCTTGACTTATATCTTACATAATTCATCCTACAATTGCTACAAAAGTGCAGGATAATATGCTCCATTAACTGGCTGCCCTTTTAGATTATAGTCCATCGTGATGACACCTCGCTATCCCAGCACACGGAGGCCATAACCATTCCAGCTGATGGGAAAGTCTTTGCCTTTTTTACTGCATGCATGATTATGATAAATTCATGACAATTATATTATGATGGTGTTTGATTGTGCACAGGATTTTTTACTGCTAGTATATATATCCTAGACTTGTTCACCACTAAAACTTTGGTGTCACCATCTCCTTCTCACTCATCAACATATTACAAAATTCTCTTGCTCCTGAATGTAATCTGAACTTACAGACTGATGTCAATATTTGTGCCTTTCGAAGACAGTTCTAAATTAGCTATGGTAGCGAGTGGACTAAGGGTATTTATCCAAACAGAATGAAGATATGATGCATCCAAGTCTCCACACTTACCCTTATGTTCCAGAAGATGCAGTATCATGGTGGAGAAGGACCTGAAGGTCTTCCCACAGGACGTGCAGGTGTGGTCAGCTTTCTGCTGGTTCCATTTCCTGGTATGACATTTCCCCGACTAAGCTGCCCCTCATCAGTCTCAGTATCAACTTCTGCACTGCCTGCATCATGAACCCCATCACCTGCCACATCATCTGATTCATACAAATCTTCTATCTCTTGAGCATCTACTACTTCATTTTCTACTTCAATGTTTTGTTCCTCATCCTCAATATCAGAGCCTGGTGGACTACATTAATCTCAAAACCTTCAAAGGTGACTCAGACATTAGGTTTCTCTCCCATATTGTTCGCTTCTGCACCTGGACAGATCCCGCAGTGAATCTGATAAAGGCGATCATTGGAGAAAGCTCTACTGCATTTGTGGCACTGATGGTCATGGGTTTTCATATGTTGATGCAGCAATTCCTCAGACTTCCACTCCAACTGGCAGACATCACAAGGGTAGGTAACCAATGGCATACAAGATGACTCTTTGTCGGAAGGTATTGGATGCAGAGCCAGTTTGTGTCTGTTGAGATCTGATGCTAACTTGTACCATTTGTCACAAATATCAAACCAGTGCAGCTGATCCATGTGAGTCTTCATGTGGTAGCGATGGGAATCAGAATTAGCAAAGTGTTTGTTACAGACCTTACATTCATAAGGTTTCTGCTTTTTTAGAGTCATCTGCTGAGACAAAAGCTTCGGACAGACAGCAGCAGTCACAGCTTCAGGCTGAATTTCATCCTTCTGTTTAGATTTGTCAGTCATCCCAAATGGTACATTAAGAACATGTTTGGCTATATCGGGCAGCACTGATGTGTCAAGATTCATGAGGGTTTTGTTCAGTGCTATTTGCGGATAGACATGCTTCATCACAGGAGCCTTGGGAAAAACAAGAAGCTGTTTGGAGTCCAGGCAGTAGAAATTATCTGATGTCTGTGGCTTGCTCGACGCAATGGCAATATCTTCTCGGCTATTCCCCTCCTTGGCAATATGTCCTTGACCCTTCCCCTTCATGGCAATATCCTCTTGGTTCATATCCTCCTTGGCAATATTCTCTTAGCTCTTCTCCTTCGTGGCAATTTCCTCTTGGCTCTTCCCCTTCGTGGCAATATCCTCTTGGCAATATCCTCTTCGCTCTTCCCCTCCTTTGCAATATCCTCTTGGCTCTTCCCCTCCATGGCACTGTCCTCTTGGCTCTTCCCTTCTGTGGCCAAATCTATTTGGCTCTTCCCCTCTTTGGCAATATCTTCTCTTATCTCCATGGTAGGATATGTCATGATATGAGAATTTTGGTAATAGGGCTCGTAACGGTAACGGTAGCAGTTTTCTGTTTTTCTGTTTCTTTCATGGCATCTCAGTCCAATTGATGTTGTGAACCTCCGATCACAGATTTCGCATTTATATTGACTTTCACTAGTGTGTGTCCGAACATGTGATTTTAAGTTATCTGACTTCTCAAAACACTTGCCACAATACAGACACTCATATGGATTCTTACTCTTGTGAACTAGACGATGTACTTGTAAGTCAGTTGCGTACATGAATCCAAGGCCACATTCTATACACTCAAATGGAGTCTCTTTGGGATGAAGGTTTTCATGTTTTCTCAATGTCTCCTGAGTGGCAAATTTGAAACTACAAATTCTACATGAGTAATACATTCCATTATCATCTATCATATTCATTATTATATCCATCATATTTTCATCCCTGGATCTGCTATCCAACATCTGTTCCTCCTTCACGGTGGAGCTGTTCATCTTGCTATCAAAGGCATCACAGATCTCGTTGTCTTCCTTTGCTGGAACATCGTCTGGAATTTGTCCAGAACTAACACTATCTAATGAAATCACAATGTCATCATCAGCTTTGGAGCCAGACTCTACAGGTTTAGCCTTTTCAGTTGTTTTTGTCATGACCTTAATTCCATGAGAGCTTGGTTTAGGATTATTTCTGTTCCTTCTCTGACCTAACGTGCCATCACTTTCGGGTGTGTCTTGCACATTAGCTGTGTATGGCTCAGTTATCTCCTTTTCAGAACTACTTGGGGGAACACTCTCTATACTGCCCTTACCCGAAGGTCGCATGAAAGGTGACACGTAGCTACTCTTCTTCATTGGTTCAGCAATCGCATCACACAGGTCCGCAGTCTCTGACCCTCCATCAGGCTGCTCTGCCTCTGTTAGAGTCTGCATCGCAAGAATTGTATCTGGGTCACCATGTTTCTTTTTTGTCTTAATCGCTGCTTCAGTACAGTTCCTGCGAGGTTCCTGAGATAACTTACTTGGTCTTCTGGGGAGAACTTCATCATCTCCATTATCAGAAGCATCATCAATACCAGCAACACGTACATCTGAATTCTGCATTCTATTCCTCAGATTACCACTGACTGCCGTGTTCACTTTGTACAGTCTCACATTTGAGTGTTTGCTTTTCATGTGAAACTTGAGCCTACTGCTGGTGATGAAGCTCTTTGGGCAGTAATGACATGAATAGGCACGTTCCCCTGTATGTGTCTTCATGTGGATCTTCCAGTTGTACTTTCTCCAGAAGGTCCTTGAACAAAAATGACAGAAATAGTCACGTTCCCCTGTATGGGTCTTCATGTGGATCTGCCAGTTGTATTTTTTTTTGAAGGTTCTTGCACAAATTGGACATGTGAATTCAATAGGTCCAAGCATACTTGAATGTTCCTTGAAGTGAGTCTCGAGCTCAGACCCTGAACTGAAAGTCTTGTGAGGTGTCTCTGTTGAATGTGATAGCGTGTGAGTCCTTAACTCATATGATGTGCAGCATTCATATCCACACTCCTCACAAGCATATGGCTTCCAAGATGCAGATATTTCCAAACTGTCCTCATCATTAGAACAATGGAACATCTTTATGGTATGATCAATCTCTTCAGCACTATGAGCTCTCAGGTGACTCTCTAGAATGAACAGGTACTGAAATCTCTTTCCACAAATCATGCATTCGGTGTCCTCACTGTAAGATAGAGGTGTCTGTTTCTTCTCTATCCTTGTCACAGAAACATCTGTACTTGCATTGCTCTTCCCTGGACTTTTACCCTGAGATTTGGCTGTGGAGTCTTGTGGAGATTTGCTTTTAGACTTCAGATTCACGAAACCTGGAAGTGGGTGAATGTCAGTCAATATCTCGCCATCACAATCCTTCACTCTGTTTGCTTCTTCAGGACTCTTTCCTCCAACTCTGATGCCACAATTCTTTCCACTGTGTGTTCTTTCATGGTATCGAAGTCCTGAAGAGAATGCAAACTGCTTACCACAAATTTCACACGTGTAAGGCTTCTCTCCAGTGTGTGTTCTGTAGTGACACCGGTAGGAGTATCTTCTTTCGAAACCTTTACCACACATTTCGCACACATACGGCATCTCCCCCAAATGTGTCTTCACATGCTGCTGGAGGTCACTTTCAGAGGAAGTCTCACGGTGACAGCTCTGACATGTAAATGATGACTGCATCAACTGGTGGTTGGCTTGATGCTTCTGGAAAAGCACATCAGAGACAAACTGTTGATCACACTGGTCACAAGACAAAAGCTGATCGTCTGAGATATCAAACTTTTCATCATGAACCAGTACAAATTTCTCTTTTCTTCTTTCTGGCTCACTCTTGCTGGTGTCTAATAGAACCGCCATTGCATCTGATGCCATGATATATCTTTTGGGTCTTTATACATTGAGATTATTCAAGGAGCACTAGCTTGGACCGACAGGTATATACAGGGCCAATCCAGATCATTCATCCGTCTGAAAAAATGAACATTTTGATGTGCAAGTAAAGTAAGAGAGTGATAGACAACAGAACTCACTGCTTGAAGTTAACGTTATTTGTTAGCATTCATTATACATTGTTTAATGCTCATCAAATGACATACAGATGGATAAATGGATACAAATGGCAGCCCTACAAAGATATTTTCAATATGCCTGATATTTTGGAAATGGCCACATATGTATAAAATCATTAACACTGGAAACATGGATCACTTCTGATTATTCTGTAGCTGGGGCCATACACAATATGTCAGAATCACCACAGTCAACGACAACGGTGCAAGGAAATATATTGAAAATAGTGGGTGAGTGAGTTGGGTTTAACGCCGCTTTTAACAGTATTCCAGTTATATCGCGGCGTCAGCTTAATGTGGGACGAAAGCCTGAAGTGATGCAGGTCTCAGACGTTTACCACTTCGGTGAAACCCACGAGCACGGTATGGTGCTGACAAACCTAGAAAAATAAGCGGGGCGAACCGGGATTAGAACCCACAATCATAGGTTTCTGGCGTGCCCAAGGGACGCAACTCTGCACAGCGAATCGCAGCGCCTGAGACGACTGGGCCACCCGTGCCCCGGAATTATTTGAACTGGGTTGATGTTTCTTTCTGCTTGTTGACTGAAGTCCCAGAGTTACACCATAAGCTCAGAAGCCTTTATCACTTATGCTGAGTCAGCATGCTGAGTTGGGCTTTGAAACTGCCCTCCTACTGTGTTGCAAAACGAACATGTTTCTTGAAAACATTTGTTGAAAGACATCAATCATGTATATTTTAACATAAATGTTTAATAAACATAATATTGTAATATTCACAATCATTCTTGCTTACTTAAGTGTTTATTTATAAACTACTGTTAGCAGTGTATATTTTGGATAGTTGAGATTTTAGAGCCACAAGGCCTTACACGTATTTACCCGATTCCATTACTAGTAGCATCTTACAAGCATGGGTTGCTAAAGAATGTAGGATAGTGATATTACTGAAACACCGGACCCACATATATATAATATAAATATATAGGCCCCTGAAGCAGGATAGTGATTAGGGGTGCAGGGAATACACTATGAGGTGAATACGATTCGTATCATGGTTGGTTGGTTGGTTGGTTTGTTGTTTAACGCCGCACTCAGCAATATTCCAGCTATATGACGGCGGTCTGTAAATAATCGAGTCTGGACCAGACAATCCAGTGATTAATCATCATGTGCATCGGTCCACGCAATTGGGATCGATGACATGCATCAACCAAGTCAGCGAGCCTGACCACCCGATCCCGTTAGTCGCCTTTTACGACAAGCATAGTCACCTTTTACGGCAAGCATGGGTTGCTGAAGACCTATTCTAACCCGGAATCTTCACGGGTCACGTATCATGAATATAGGGTAACGAATATGAATATTAAATCACAAATACAATAACAAGTCAGCAGATGATATATTATTTGTTATATTCAGTGAAAAAATAACAACATAAAGTATTTGACATGATTTGTTAATTCTTAATATATTATACATTTATATACTGCACTTATCCAGGTACTAGTATTTGCTCAAATGTGACAATGACCAGTGACCACAATACTGTCAAATTATATATTATATGAGTGTTGTCTTTGCAGAAATCTATGCATATAATTTGTTCTTATGGATATTTTTTAGGTATAGGGTATGTAAATACACATGATTCCATATTCACAAATATTCAATTCTAGTGGCCTCGAATAACAAATTCAATTCATGAATGGATATGGTTCAATTCACCGAATACGCGAGCACTAATAGTGATATTACTAAAACATCGGACCCATATATATAAATAGACACTAAAGCAGGATTGTGAGATTCCTGATACACCGGACCCATATGTATAAATAGACACGGAAGCAGGATAGTGATATTACTAAAACATCGGACCCATAGGGCAATGTTACTGAAACACCAGACCCTTATACATAAATTGGACCCTGAACCAAGATAGTGATATTACTAAAACATCCGACCCATATATAAATAGATACTGAAGCAGGATAGCGATGTTACTGAAACACCAGACCCTTAAACATAAATTGGCCCCTGAAACAAGATAGTGATATTACTAAAACATCGGACCCATATATAAATAGATACTGAAGCAGGATAGCGATGTTACTGAAACACCAGACCCTTATACATAAATTGGACCCTGAACCAAGATAGTGATATTACTAAAACATCGGACCCATATATAAATAGACACTGAAGCAGGATAGTGATGTTACTGAAACACCAGACCCTTATACATAAATTGGCCCCTGAACCAAGATAGTGATATTACTAAAACATCGGACCCATATATAAATAGACACTGAAGCAGGATAGTGATGTTACTGAAACACCAGACCTTTATACATAAATTGGCCCCTGAACCAAGATAGTGATATTACTAAAACATCAGACCCATATATAAATAGATACTGAAGCAGGATAGTGATGTTACTGAAACACCAGACCCTTATACATAAATAGGCCCCTGAACCAGGATAGTGATATTACTAAAACATCGGACCCATATATAAATAGATACTGAAGCAGGATAGTTATGTTACTGAAACACCAGACCCTTATACATAAATAGGCCCCTGAACCAGGATAGTGATATTACTAAAACATCGGACCCATACATAAATAGACACTGAAGCAGGATAGTGATGTTACTGAAACACCAGGGGGCCATTGTACAAAGCGACCTTAGTGCTAAGGTGATCGTCACTGCCATACCTTAACATAGACTTACAACAGTTGTAGTGCTTAGGTTGTTACAATGGCACCCAGACCCATATGTATATAAATAGGCCCCTGAACCAGGATAGTGATATTAGTGAAACACCAGACCCACATGTATATAAATAGGCCCCTGAACCAGGATAGTGATATTAGTGAAACACCAGACCCACATGTATATAAATAGGCCCCTGAACCAGGATAGTGATATTAGTGAAACACCAGACCCACATGTATATAAATAGGCCCCTGAACCAGGATAGTGATATTAGTGAAACACCAGACCCATATGTATATAAATAGGCCCCTGAACCAGGATAGTGATATGAGTTCAAGTAATATCACTATAGATCTATATAGATCCTGCTTCAGGGACCTGTGCTTCACAGGTATAGTAAATAATTGTGTGATCAATGGAAATAAATCAACGTCATTTACATACCTTGCCTCGTCCTCGCCCAAACTTTTTGAAACAAGAACCAATCAATCTATTGAATCAACGATACATAGGCCTACATCATTCATTTCTGTCAGGGCTCAGCATAGAACAGTGACACCCCACGTCACAGCTGGTAGCTTCACCCCACACAGCGTCGGGGAATTAACCCTGTCACCTCCCCCACCAAATTTCAGCGCACGGAATTTCGGAAGTCATGTTTGATGGCGATGGGCAAGAGGGTGAACTCATTACAACATCGGAGAAATGTAACTGATATTTCTATTACTAAATTCATATGGGCCAAAACCCTCACCCTTAACTAAGGATCGAAGAGGAACGAGAGATCTGTGAAGAGCAGTCCGCAGCCTGAGCCAATTAGCGCTATATATTTATTAGCTGCGCAAGGTAAACTGCATTGTTGCCTAAATAAATATTCAGACATAAATCTTACCAGTTCCATATGTTCACACGTGACACATCCCAGTAAACATGACCCGAATTTCACATTCGTGACCAACTCGTGCCTTCTTGCAGATAACGGAAAGGGGCGAGTGGTGACGAATGCCGAATTTCAGTGCAAGACGACGAAAAACAGGTCCGAGGGCTGTGGAGCCGATTTAATGTACTGGCTCCGCTGAAACGAAAATAGATTTCGCTGGATTTGTAGCACATCAATAGGCTGGCAGACTTTGAATTTTAAGATCAATGTAATTATGTTAGGGTTTTTAGTTCAGATACCGAATGCGGTTTAGACATTTTAATTATCGATGCAAACCATGGAAGATGAGGTATAATGTTGTGGGTTCTAAAAAGTACGAATCAAGATAGGGTACCTCAAAATAGATGCTGCGTCAAAAACTCCTCACAGCGATAGGTGTCACGCGCTGGGAAAGAGCTTGGTTTCGCCAGGCTACGACGTTAAGAGTTACCTCCCTTGTCCAGAAGCGCTCAGTTCTCGATTGAAACCAACTTGCATGCCTCAATTTATTCAACTTTATTGCACATTGATCATAATTATAAATAAGCTCAGGCTATCATGGCTCACGGTGCATTTTCCTTTCTATTTATTTTCAGGTATATATGCAACTTTAGGCTTCGACATATAGCTGTCAGGGATCGAGTCTGAATATATATTTGTATGTCTAGTCTCCCTGCTATTTGTAAGTTTTACGCCACTTTTAGCAATATTTCAGCAATATATCAGCGGGGTACACCAGAAATGGGCTGCACAGAGTGTACCCATAAGGGGATTCGAACCCAGGTCTTCGCGTGACCAGCGAACGCTTTAACCACTAGGCCACAATCCTATATGAGTAACATGGCGCGGCGGCAAACAGTCTTATACCCAAGTATATTTTATATTTCATCTTTGTTGAGTATCATTTTTGAGAGGGAGATGTCTATAGGAAGTTGTTCCCCGCAGTTGTAGCTGGGCAACGTTGTTAAACGCAATGGCCGAATGATCGCATCTAGATGTGGGAGAGTTCTGACAATCGGTATTGGGAGAAAAGGTGCAGACAATCGACGTGGCAATTATGAGTATATGCGGGAAAGACCAAATTAACCCCCTTGTTCACAAAATGGACTTGTCCGACATGGCCGAGGTCGGATTCTATTCAGGAAGTCATCATTATTTAAATACGGGTAAAAAGTTTTAAAGCTTTACATTTTATTAACATCCTTAAAGAGGCTGTATAATGTTGATATCTCATATCAGAAATAAACGACTCGTGGTCGTTGATTATCATATTTTAAAGCACTGCAGGGAGAATAAACCACTCGGGGCAGCGCCCATCAACGCACCATAAACAAGCCATGTGAATTCATGTGGATTGTGTCTGTGATGCCATGTCTTTCAGCTTCGGATTGCTGCTCCCCTCATGATAATTCTCCCTGCAGTGTCTAGTGAGTTGTTCCCCACAGATGTAGCTGGGCAACGCAGATTAACGCAATGGCCGAACGAAAAGTGGGAGAAATATGACAATACAGAAAGGTAGACAATCGACGTCAAAATTGTGTGAATATACGGGAAAGACCAAAATTACCACCCAATATTATTTAACAGACCAGTCTATGTTGGGATGAGCATACTCGACTTATCAAAACATTTGATGCATAAATTTTATTACAATGAGCTAAGGAAGAAATACGCTGATAGGTGTGATATGTAGTACATTGACACATTTTCTTTGAGAATGGAAATACAAACCGATGATGTATATAGACATAGCAGAATGTGAGTGAGTGAGTTGGGTTAAACGCCGCTTTTAACAGTATTCCAGTATTATCACGACGTGTCAGCTTAATGTGGGAGGAAAGCCCGAAGTGATGCAGATCTCAACCATTTACAAGTTTGGTGAAACCCACGGGCACGGGTATGGTGCTGACAAACCTAGAAATTCGAACCCACAATCACAGGTTTCTGGCTCCCCAAGGGACGCAGCTATGCACAGCGAATCGCGGCGCCTTAGACGACTGGGCCACCCGTGCCCCCTCACATAGCAGAAAGAGACAGACATGCGATACCAGTGATTACCACAAAGCCAATCCCCTGTACAAGGTATTAGGTAAGATGAAACCATTTGAAACACAAAATGTGATTGAGAGTTGTGATAGAACCTTTTCGCAGATCAATCAATCTCTGCTCATTGTGAAATTTTCATGGTGGAATAAATGGGTTCAGGTAAAATTGATAGCTCTTTGTGGAAAACGTTGCATTGATGATTACGTGAACAAGTTTAAACCTAAACAGAAGAATATTTCACAGAGGCTTTGAGCTTGGTGATGGTAATATTGTTCACTCCTTTGGAAAGGTGACAATACCTGCGAAGATAGGCAATGCACCTGCAAAGATAGGCAATGCACCTGCAATATTGATACAGAAGCTGTACGTGCCGACATTCCATTGCTGCATGGTAAAGCTTCACTGTTTTTAACAATGACACTGCTTGGATGTTTGATGAACCAGTCACTTTGCAGTTCACATCAAGTGGGCATTACTGCGTTGCTATCCTTGGTGAACAAATTGATGTTACTTTTGAAAAGGATGTACAATGTTTGATTGTGACTGACGGTATGAGCAAGGAGAAACAAACAAAAGTACTAAGCTCCACAAATATTCCTCTTTCGTGCAATCACAGACAACAAAGGGACATTTGATTTGCTGCAGCAAAAAGTAGAAAATTGTGACACTTGTTTGAAATACAAAATACCAAGTCCAAAGCCTGCAGTTGGGTTTCCTTTGGCTACGGAATACGAGACTGTAGCTAATAACTTGCATTACATAGTGCATGGTACCTGCACATTATCGATGCCTGCATTGTGAAATCGAAGCAATCAAGTGAATTTATGAAACAATTAATTCAAAATTAGGTAAGTAGCAGCCCGAAGAAATTATACAGCGACAATGGACGGGAGTTCAATAACAAGGAAGTGAGAGATAAGTCAGAGAAATTTATTTTTTAGGACAACACTACACCTGTTACGACCCTTTGAGGAATGGTCTCCACAAACTACACAACTCTCACAGAAAAATACTCTGAAAACAAGAAACGTAACAGTAGTAAAATCGGAAATATCGGACAGAGTGTTGCCGACACTCATACAAAATTAATACCAAACATGAATTGGTCATTTCTGCATGATTGGGATTGATTTGTGTGGAAAGAATGAGGTATTGCAGACATTTGGCGATAAGATGGACAAATCGCAAATAGACAACCACGTGAGATCCTAGCGAAACACACCAACATGACATGCGCGTGCAACATCACTTGTTGAGATATAGAACGTTGAGGTTTCATTTGCGTGCCATCACAATCTTACAGCAAGTGAACAGCGAAAACATGCCACGACTGACAAGCCCAACCCATCGACCGACTGCAAACAGAAGAATCAGCTTCAACTGAGCCAGGCTTTTCCACATAGCACCAAACACCATTACAAGACTAACGGAACCAGGCGTGACATTCATCACGTATCACTACTGGAGCTCAGGGCAGAATCATACGGCTACGTCACGTGAAAGAACCACCACTGCCACCGCTACAACTACGGCAATACCAGGATTGCGTAGGATATCAGCCCAGAGAGTGAGGAATCGTTTACGCGTTAAAGGTATTCACGCTAGAAGACGAGTTCGAGGTGTCATTTGACGGACCTGCATCTTCAGTTGCGACGTCAGTGGTGTCAAGGTCACAGAGTATGGCCACAACTGATATGGAGACAAGTTTCGTTTTGTGATGAGTCACGTTTTATGCTTCACCGTGCGGATGGTAGACGTCGTGTTTACATGCATCGCGGGGAACGTTATGCACGAAACTGCATACATGAAGTGGATAGGTGGTTGTGTGAGCACGTCAGCAGCAACCACCGAACGTCCGACAGTTGGCACAAGCACTGTAGGCAGAGTGAGTGAACATTCCCCAGGCCGCGTCAGCAGCAACCACCGAACCTCCGACAGTTGGCACAAGCACTGTAGGCAGAGTGAGTGAACATTCCCCAGGCCACGTCAGCAGCAACCACCGAACCTCCAACAGTTGGCACAAGCACTGCAGGCAGAGTGAGTGAACATTCCCCAGGCCGCGTCAGCAGCAACCACCGAACCTCCGACAGTTGGCACAAGCACTGCAGGCAGAGTGAGTGAACATTCCCCAGGCCGCGTCAGCAGCAACCACCGAACCTCCGACAGTTGGCACAAGCACTGCAGGCAGAGTGAGTGAACATTCCCCAGGCCGCGTCAGCAGCAACCACCGAACCTCCGACAGTTGGCACAAGCACTGCAGGCAGAGTGAGTGAACATTCCCCAGGCCACGTCAGCAACAGCCACAGAACGTCCGACAGTTGGCACAAGCACTGCAGGCAGAGTGAGTGAACATTCCCCAGGCCACGTCAGCAGCAACCACCGAACGTCCGACAGTTGGCACAAGTACTGTAGTCAGAGTGGGTGAACATTCCCCAGGCCACAATTTTGGATCTGATTGCTTCCATGGGACCACGATGCCAGTCCGTTTTTGGACTCTTATGGTGGCCATACAAGATATAGAGAACAGATGACCTCAACCTTGAAAAATCTACTGTTCCACGTGTGCCATTGTCATTGACAATGATGTATGCCAATTTTGAACCATCGATTTCCATCTGTTGATTATTTATATGATCACTAAAATCACTCAAGATTAAAAATTCTCAAGGTCAGAGCGGAAAATGAATGTGACTGGGATATGGCATTGAGTTGGAATTAGACCTAAAACAACTTTAATGTTCATGGCGTCATTCACACTAACTAGTATAAGGACCACATCCTAATCTCCAGAGTGTTCTCACTAATCAAGCTTCTGCACTAGAGGCACACCTATCAACGAAGGCGTGGGCAATCATATCACAACACTTCACTCCCCTAAAATATAATCGGAATGTTCAGAAAGAATTCACTGTGCACTTCGAAAAAAGTACAACCTACTGGAGAAAGGTATACCTCTGATAAAAGATTTATTACAAACACCCTCATTGCAGAGAATGGAAAGGACCAGAGGAAATAATTCTGTTTGTTAGACAAAGTGGTTATCTGTTTGATTACTGCAGCGTCGGCTGCAGAGAGCTGAGTTTTAAGGAGAAGAAAATGATTGTTACAATGAGGTACCTATGAATATGC